CTAGATATTTTGCATATGAAAGCAATGTAATGTTTACTGACAAATGCCCAATTTCATTAACAATTGCTTGTTAATTTAAAAATTGTAGCATGAAAACTATAACAAGCACAAAATGATTACGAGGTCGGTCCCCACTGACCAACCCGGGTTGAAAAAAAAAAAAAGAGTTAAAATGAGTTTAATCTTTCAAAGAATCGGCTAAAACCTCATGTCATGGTGTTTGAAAAATTTGATAGTGATTTTTACAGTTGTTGAAGCTTTTAAATAATATTTTGGGAAATATACTATTAACAAAGTGGGTGAGAAATGAGCACAATGTATTAGGCCAGTCAAGATAACTAATGACCATCTTTGTCTATTCTAAATGGCTTTTAATGGAGATTGTCATAAAATTTAATCAATCTGGTTAACTTTTATTTCCACAGGAGATCATCAGTGGTTTTCACAACTACAAAACCAGTGTGCCAGATTTAGTGTTCAAACATCATCCTTCAACTTTAAGAATGAGTCTTCTTCCCACTGTTACAGATTCAAGTTTACCAAAAAGGCTTTTAGCATGTGTCTTCTCAGCCCTGAAAGCCAATGGTAAGGTGTTTGTAGGTGTTCTTAGTAATTTTTTATTGGGTGATAAGGAGTTGTGCCCTAAAATTATCCTAAAACATTTAATAATATGGTAAAAATTAAAATCTAAATCATCTTATTAATTTGAAAACCAGATGGTATCTGTAATTTCAAAACTACCCTAGCTTTTATGCCAGTGATTTTTGTTGTTGTTGTGGTGTTATTAACTATGCTTAAGAAAGAAGTTGGTAAGACAAATAATGTGGTTTTGAGTACTCTGGTAACATAAAACTGAAAATTCAATTGAACGAGGTCAAGTAGTATGTGGAAATAAACTTATTTTGAGTGAGTTTCAACCATCAGTTGAGTTTTAATTTATTATTTCACTGTTCATGAGAATATGGAAACAAACCGACCTACCTAAATTTTAAAAATCTAATTAAAGTCAGAGTAACTAGTTTAATAGAATTATTATCTTGCAGGTTCTCATGGAGTCTACTGTGAAGTTACTGTAGGTGACAAAAACATAATGGATTTCTATTTTAAGTTGGGCTTTTTGGAAATTGCTCTTCAAGGAACTTCTGATGATGAAATATATTTAGGAAGAATATTTTAACTTCTTTCTGTAATTTCCACTTGTTATTGCTTTGTTTTAAGAAGCTTATGGTGTAAGTGCTATGCATTACACTTGTATATTTATAAAGCTAAAGGCCATATACAAATAACTGGATCTAGGGCACAATATATTCAATAGTTTGTGCAGAAAGATAAACTTTTTATCTTTCTGCTATATTAGAAACCTATCGTTGTACTGCATATTATAAATTTAAACAGCTTGTATATATTTTAAAATGTGAAAAATACCTTAAATTTGTTTTATGTCAGAGAATCAGTATTTCTATATGGCCATCTGTATACATGTAAAGTGAATTTATGTATTTGAAAATAAAAATATGGGTTAAAATGTTCTTCTGTGAATCTTATTTGGACATTTAATGCTGAAATGTTATGAAAAATACATGTAATTTATACCATTTCCTATCACTTTACACTCCTGGTTTAACCCTAATAATTCAAAGCAAACATTGAAGTTGTGTTGGTCTTTTTTTTTCTCTCTCTCAACTATTGAAGGTGTAGAGTGCACACTTGTACATTAAATTTGAAAAATTAAGTAAAAATTATCTAAGAATTGTCCCTTCAAAACACTGACTGTATAATTCAGAAAGAAAAATTAAATGTTCAGACTTCTGTTGTCTGCCTATCCCAAAGCACAGTTTCTTATCCCTTGTATACATTTAACCAAGTCTTGTTTCTTTAGTGAATGTTCCTTCTCTGTCTTAACTTTTTATGGCCTAGCAGCATGTAATGTGATAACTAATGAAGCCCAGCCTTGTAATATAGCTAAAGGTAAATTATAAACACCATTAGAAAATGCACATGATTGATGGCTGAAGTAATTTATGAAGGAAAGTTAAATCTTGTATGTTGTCTTCTACTGTACTCTCTAAAACACATTTGTATGATTTCAATTTATCTGCAAGTTTATCACATTCAAGTAAAAGAACTTGTTCATCAACTTATATTGGCCAAGAATATTATTTAGCCCAATGCTATTGCAAGCGTCCTGGCTTATGGTTATGTGTGTGTGTGTATATATATATATATATACACACACACACA